CTGTGTCCCTTTTTTGAGTGCCATGGTAATGATTTGATTTGTATCGGATAGTCGGACTATAATTGTCAATGAGAATCAGAGAATGCAAGTGAGTACAAATTTTAAAAAATTTTTAATGCTGGTAATTTTTTGCCCCGACCGACACAATTTAGATAATTTTGGACACAGACTTCTGACCCTGCCTGTTAGGGCCAACCTTGACTGAGAGGGATACAACATCCCAGCTGAAAGTGAAATGCCAAGATGAAGTAATTTCTGTTTTCCCAGATAGTTAGTAACCTATGGAGATGGAAATGGTAGCTTTTGCCCTTCAAGAAGGAACATCTGGCTGAAGCTGACAGTATCAAATGTATTCATTTTATTTTTATCAACGGACACTGTGCTCTGGATGCAATTAGAGTTGAAACTGAGCTGAAAAGTGTGGAGATGTTTTGTACATGAGTATGAGTGTGGTGGGTTTTTTAGTTTTTCTAAGTGACAAATTCATCTTGTGTAGAATTTGATAAACAATGGTCCTTATTTCATTGGAGAAATTGATGAACAAAAGTTCTTTACCCCTTCGCAGCAAATTGTTGACCATTGTGATAAAATGGAAGGATAGCTTGTAAACAAAGAACAAGAACTCTTGTTAATTTCAAATGGTCGGTATAAAGTCCAGGAGCATTGACTATGAATTTTTTGAGGGTCTTCAAAATTGTGACTCCTCCCATTTTATAATTCAATAATCGTTAAAATTGAGATTGAATGGGATAAATCTGAAATAGCTGTGTAACACAATGCCACTGTTGATGCTGCCTTTGCTGTAACTGCCCATATATTTTTTCCTCCCCCTCAGACAATACTTCAGTGCTATGAGCACAGTCTGTCTGATCGGGATCAGTTTCCTGCTGGCCCTCAGTTACATCTCCTCTTTGCGCAGCAGAGATGCTGGTCAACAGCAGCAGCAGCGACAACAGGCTGCTACGGGCGGCAGGCAGCATCCTCAGCAAAATCACCCTCATGCAGACTGAGCCTTTGACTTTGATGGATATAATGTGTGTGTGGTTGGTGGGTGCTCTGATGTGGTTTGCTCCTTCTTTCCTATTAAACATCTGTCGTCCTTATCTCCCCTCCTTTTTTGTGTGTATGTTACTCTCTTGTGTTACATACTCTATTCTTCAGCACTTATATAACCTTATTGCGTTGCAAGTGCCGTACAACTCTTACACTAAAATTAAACTAATTATTAGATGATATGTGAGGCAGCGTGGAGGAATAAGGCTCTCGTCAAATTTTGGACATGTAGAGTTATTGGTATCATCTTAAAGCTTGTTCGCTTGTCTTTATTTGGATGAAAAAAATATCCATTTATTTTGAATAAAGTCGATATATTTGCGAAAGAAGGAGGTGGGGTCACCAGTTTTCTGAGATAAAATTAGTGAGAAAATGGCCGCCAAAGATTAGTTATTTCCTAAGCTTATGAGTCTGTTGTAACTGAAAATTTACTTTTTTGTTCCTTTAAAATCAAAGCTTTTCAGAAAAATCCACACAGAAATGAGTTCTTTTATTGGCATAAAAGGTGTTGAGCCAAAAAAACAAAAATTTGATAAAAATTCACAAACCTGCTGAAAAATGCAAGTTTCTTCACTTTGATTATTTTGATGAGAGCTTGAATCCACCACGCTGCCTCTCATATAATGGAGCCAAAAATGTCCAAGACAGCCGCCTATTGTGGAGGAGAAAAGTGGCCGTCTCAAAAGATGGACATCTTGGACAGTGTTATTATTCATTATAGAAAAACGCATGGTGGGAAGTGTGAAGTGGTCGTTTGTACAGATGATTGTCTTGGACAAATGGCCATAAGAGCAGGTTGGACTAGCTTCTATGTTTACTGGAGGCCCTGGTGTGTCAGAAGTATTGCTAGCAGAAAAGTTTTAGGGTCAGAATTTTTGTAACTGGTCTCTAGAGCTGGAAAAATGTGTTGCATTTGTCGAAAGTGGAGCAAGAGCTGTGCCCACACAACATGCAATTCTTTGTGGTGTCAGGGATATTTCAGCTCTGATGTCAGTTGTTTTAGACTTATTCCATGGGTCCATTGAAGCTGAAATGACCTGACTTATATTGAGTTTAGCAAATTCGGTCTGGTTGTTTCGGGCATGCGTGAACAGGTCAAAGGTTAAGGAACACATGACGGGAATAACAGAACATGACGATTTAAAAAATCTTTGTAGTAAAATTGTTAATAATATGCTTTAAAACCTTTCATTTTCACATAGATTTTGATAATGTTGAGGCACTGATTGTGAATTTAAAGCAATATATTTGTCATCTAAACTTAAAATTAGTCATCTTTTTTTGTTTGTTCTAGCTGGGTTTATGGCTGATGAGACATCAGATGATCTTACTAAAACGCTGTAAGCAGCAGCAGTCTAACCAACCCGACTTTAAGTGGGAAAAGCCTGGTTGTTTTGGTGGACCCATCAAATGGAATTCTCATTGATCATTAATTTAAAAATCGGTACCGATTTCATGGGAGACGGATGGTCATTGGTCTTTCGGTTTCTGGTTTGATGAGCACTTGGCGTCATTTTCCGTAAGTGGGACCTGACGTCCTGTCGCCTTTCTCTTCTCAGAAAGTGTTTCTCTCTCTCTTTTTCTTTCTCTCTTTCTCTCTGTTCCTGTCTCTTTATCTTACTCTATCTCACATTGGATCCCGTCTCTCTTTATCTACTACCCTTCTCTCTCGCTCTCTCTGTCCCTTTCTGTCATTCTTTCTGGTCCTGTCCCTGTCTCTTTCTCTCACTCTCTCTGACTTTCAGTAAATTTTGGACTGATCAGCTTCCATCCATGCTTAACAATTATGACTGTCATGTTGACACATATGATACAGTTGTCTGCCTTGTGGGGTAAGATTTAACTCCTCATTTTTATCTCTGTTTAGTGTAAAAATGAATGACTCCGATCTGTTTTTGTCTCCTTGCACAGCAGAGTGAAACGAAGTTACTCATTTTTCTTCTCAAAGTGAAGATACTTTTTAAAAATTGCAGGGTTAACACTAAATACAATTTTTACATGCTCGATGGTCCTGGATTTGTAAATTGGAATACATTTTTTTAAAATCAACTCTTTTTTCTTTCATTTTTGAGTTATAACTTCTCGACTCCCTGACATAATATATTTCTCTCGTAAAAAAATCTACTTTTCTGTCTTTTCATGAACCAGCAACTCAGTGCATAGGATTTTGCAGTTGAGGAATATCTCATGACTTAAACTTAGAGAAATCCTGCTTTAGAGAGTTCTAAGATACAATGAAGTCTGCTGAAACGGAACCAGCATTAGTGGTGTAGTGGTTAGATGCTTTGCTGTAGTACACAGTAGGCTTGAGGTTGATTCCCAATCGAGGAGACTATTTCTTGTGTATCTCAGTCTTTCTGCTAGGAACTTGTATCCCTCTCAGCCCAAGTTGGCCCTGACAGGCATGGTGGGAAGCCTGTCTACAAAATGATCAAAATGTTGCCGATGGGTGCATAAAAACACCTACAGTTAAAAACAGAAAAAACTTAAACTGAATATGGTTAATTCAAAACAGCGATAGACCGAAAGAAAATAGAATTACCTATTTTTATGTTCGTTATTTGAGCAATCTCTATCTCTTAAACATATACACAGCTAATCCAAAGAAAATCTGGTGGTCTTACAAATTTCGGTTTGAGTGGTCTCCACTGTATCTCGATATATTTCTAAATTTGGATGGACTTGAAAATGAATTTGATTGTTTATTTGAGAATATACAGAAATTTTCTGGAGTTCAACTGATAATCTGAGATTTTATCATCAAGAAATGATGTTTTCTGTGAGATGTGGGAATATTTGATATTTATTTTAAGGCTTGCCTTTCCTTGATTGTGTTGGTTGCGATTTCTCGTATTTGTAGGTACAAGTTAGTTTGTCTCTTCACTAGTAGATCACCATGTTTCTCTACTTTATTTGTAGAGGGTGGTTGGTGGATGATTTGGTGTGGTTTGCTCCTTTGTTACTATCAAACATCTATCATCTTCATCTCTTCTCCTTTTCTTTGTATGCTACTCTCTAGTAAAACCTCTTTGGTTCCTATGTGACCTATTTGTGTTGCAAGAGCTGTAAACTCATACCAAAACTAAATTCTTTACTTGTAGATTAGCCTACCATTTTTCTTTTTATTAGTGGAGTGCAACTTATGTTTTGGTGTGACTATGTCACTCTCCACAAAGCTGTAGACCAAACACACAATGTTTCATAGTCTGATGCCTTATTAGTGCGGTAATGATAAAGATCACTTCTTTAGCATTTACTCCCTGGTGGCTCCAGGATCTTTGACAATGGTGAATAAAATGACTTTTTAATTAAAGATTTGACAGCTTACACAATGACATGTTTCATGCAAACTTGGTCCGTTCTATGCACAGCAGCCCTTTCAAAATGTACATATATATCGACTCCTCAGTGTAAAAGACTAATACATGTCTCTTTTTGAAATCATGTTGGGTGGAGTCACTAAGAAGTCAACATGTACCCTTTCACAATTTGACAGCATACACAATGGGTTTTTTGTTTTTTTTCATACCTGAACCTCTGAACTGGGAGGTCCAAAAACTTATTGTAGAAGTAGAAACAGAAATCCTTGCTTTCTTATGAAATTTCTCTGGGTTTTTTTTAAGGCTTTTTTTCTCTCGATCAGGCATTGCTGTTACATACTTATAATAAATGATTATGGCCCCTGGACTGAGCTTAGAAATAGTTGATTGTTTCAGTCGGAATCAGTTTACTTTGTTGGTTGTTGGCGGGTGGTCTGATGTGGTTTGAGTTTGTTCCTTTCCTATCAAACATCTATCATGCTAATCTGTCTTCCATCTTTTCTATGTATGTTACTCTCTAGAAACATCTCAACTCTTTGGAACAAATGATTTATTTGTGATAAAAGTGTTGTAAAACTGTAATTGAAGAAAAAACAATTTACCCTCACACTATCAGTAGTCAGTATGCTTGACTCAACGTTGTATTGTGAGTTGAACCTCTATAACTCAAGTACGGTTTAAGGTTAGGTGATCAAATGCTTTCTTTTCGAGAGCTCATTATGTTGACTGCTTAATGTGAGACACCGCCATGCGCCATTGTGTAAAGTAATATGTGACAGTCTTACACTGAGTAGTCAATATACAGGCTGAATTCCCTTGTTTTTGGAAAAGGAATTTTGTTTTTTCAAGTTAGAATATTTGGAAATGGGAATAGAACCATTTCGTTCCCCCTTTTCTTTTTCTTTCCTCTGATACTGATACCCTTAACCTGTGATGTATGGAAGGATTTAGATATAAACCACTCTGTGACTTTTCATCATGGACAATATTATACTACTATGTACCTTAGCTTGCTAAAACTTTCTGGACTCCTTTGAACATGTTTCTGTATTTTTTCAGTTCCTTGACATTGTAGGATTAAGTCACTGATATCGTCACAGTAGGTATATATATGTGTACTAATTTCTGTAGTGAATGGTTAATGGTATGTTTACTTTTTTTGTCTGCCGTCTTGTCATTCAGCAAAGTGAATTAAGCATTTTTCTTTCCTTTTTATTTTCCCCAACGTTTTGCAACCGATGATTTCTGTAGGCCTACTTCTTTTGTCTATGTAGAATTTTCACAGAGTGTGCTAGGCTTTGACGGTGTTTACTTGTGTCTGTGTGCTCATTTGAAGACACTTTTTAAAATATACTTCACTGTTACTATTATTGTCTCCCCCTCGTAAAATCACAGTATCATTGTTACATTGGTTGTAGAAATGAAGTAGCCTACAGCTTTCTTTTTCTTCACCTCAGTCAAATTGCCACTTCTAACGAAAATGTGCCCAAATTAAACAACTTTATTCATGAGTAAACTTTAGTTTCTTGTCACAATATTTTATTTCCATTCAATATTTACGTAAACCTGGGGTCTCAAACTCGCAGCCTGTGGACCAGTTGAGACTAGTAAGACAATATTTTGTGGACCCCACTTGAAATCAGAGTTAAGTGTTAATTACAACAAGGAGTTGGTAAGGGAAACTGATCTGCTGTTAATAAAGACTGACAAGATTAAGATCAGTTGTTATT